CTAAAAATTAAATCGGGAAGGAAGTCAAATGATTTTCCGAAATGTATTACGTTGTTTAACTGCGCAGTTATCTTCAAAAAATCATTTGACTGCCTTCCCGGTTGAATTTTTAGCTGAAATTTGGTATGGGTAAACTAGACTTAATAAAGAAGATGCTCAAAAAAATTGATCAAAAAATTCCACCGGGAACCACCCCAATTGGGGACGGTCGAGCAGAACCTCCTATATAAGGGGCTAATTGAACACTTTTAAGTTAGTTCATGTACATATATGACCCTTTAGCCAAATTAAAAATAAAATGTTAAAATATACATATAGAATTGATGTAATAATTTATATAGTGTATTTTTAGATAATATATCTTGCATTTGATCTTATTTTCCATTTTGTTGTTGTTGAAAAAGTAATATATATTCATTTGTTGGATCAAAAAATATTATTTGTTCAACATTTTGACGATAAATTAATTTTGAACACCCAACTTTTGAACGCAAGATTCGCCAATGATGTTAAGCCTCCCAATACCAAAACTCCTAATTCATAAAGCCATCCAAATTATATCATTGTTTTTAAATTTCAAAACCAACAAGAGTAAAGAGCGCTTCAAAGCGGTGAGTACCTCAGCGGTTTGTTAAAAAGACAATCTATCGAGAAGCCCAAACGGCGGTCGGTGACCAAAAAACTTCTTTCAAGGCTTCAAACAATCCAATAGTGATCGATAAATTATTCTTGATACAATGAGAGAAAGAAGAGAAGATTAGAAAAGGCAGACTCAAGTCACAAGGGGTCAATAGACAAATTTGTTTATGTTAAGCAATTGAATCTTAAAAAATCCAGGAGAAACGTTTTTAAGTAATATTTTTCAAAGTTAAAGATTATGATGAATTATCTACGATCGACTGATTTTGCTGATTCATGTAAAAATTATATTTCAAAAATATATTATAAATAAAATAAAGTAAAATTTGAATCATGATGATTGGAATAATTTAAATAAAATGGTTTCGGAATTATTAAACAAATTGGCAATTAGTAGCAACTATTAAAAAATATAAAATAAATAATTATGTTTTCACAATTTTATATAACTTGAAGTGGAATTATTTTTAAAAAAAAATCTGGTCGGATTCCTCACTTCCGACTAGAGGTTTAGCCCAATTTAAAACTTTTACTTTTTAAAACTCAAAATCAAAAACTTAAGAATTCGGCAAAAAATAAAAAAATAAAAAAACCTCCTAGTCGGAAGTCACTAATCCGACAGGAGGGGAGAGTTCTTTTTTTGGAAACCCAAACTCTAGTCGGAACATCCAGTTCCGACTCATTTCAACCAAAAAGACAACCCTTTCAAAGATATATAAATTCAACTGGCTTGCTTGGCATCCTGCCATCTCTTTCAATCCTGTGCCTGACAAGCCAAATTACGGGGATTGGGTTTAAGGTACTAAAATACGGGAGTCGGATTTGTGATTTTGAGTTCCGACTAGAAATAGGGTTCCAAAAAATAGGACTCCACCTTGTCGAAAGTGGGTAATCCGACTTGGAGTATTCCAATAAAAAAAAATCTACTTTATTGCTTGGTGTTAATGCCACGAGCACACATAATACATACATCCCTTGTCGGAACTAGTTAATCCGACTAGGAGATGTTTTTAAATTATCTTAATTTTTATTACGTTTTTATGTATAAAATATTGGTTTTCATATAACATTTTTAAATTGTTATTAAAATAATGGTTTTCATATGGAAATTATTTATAAATTTATAAGTATTGGATTCTTATCAGTACTCTACACAACCGAATGCATATTTTCCCATATTTTCGGATTTGTCATTTTAACATGAAGACATAGTGAGGGCTTGGAACACTTGTGGCGGGGACATATCCAGCCCGAGCACCCAACCTATCGTTGAACAAAGACGAAGACGCAAATCATGACATTATTTATCATTATATGTAGTATTAAAATTATTGTTGTATGTATATATTTATTAATAAATTACATTGAAAAATACATTTCATGACATACGGAGTAATTTCATGACAAAGTTCAGGAACACAGAACTGAAAAAATTATGTTGGCAAGCCGGTAGCACTCACACAGTACAGGAATTTCACGATTGTATGCAACAAATACAAGGCATAAATGAGAGTGTCTTTATATATATATATATATGAATGAGATTCCTGTTGAGATGTTGCCCTAAGTTGTGACGATGGACAAAGATATGACATTTTGACGACAAACCTTTCATAATTTTTACCTAGTTAGTTAAATACGGTACGGGAATTAAATGAGGTTTAGTACATATGCGTTTTATTCGGTAACATTTATGAAAAAAATGGTCAAAAAATCGTCGAAAATAACGTTGATTTTCAAAAAACGTGTAAATACGTATACGTGTATCACTACAAAAAAAATCGCTTGTAATCACTAGTTAGTCACGGTTCTAGTCACAGTTTAGTCACGGATTGTTTAAAAAAAATAGTCACGGATATGTCCGTGACTACGTCCGTGACTACGTCTGTGACTACGGTTAGTCACGGATATAATCCGTGACTAACCTATTCCGGCCAACCCAATTTTGCCTCCGGCGGTTTTTTTTTTTAAATTTGAAATTAGTCACGGACGATAAATCGTACCAAATTAGTCAAGATCCAAAATTAATTTTTCAACACTCCAAAGTTAAAGTGCGCCGATAAATCGTACCAAATTACATAGTCACGGACACATCCGTGACTACGTCCGTGACTACATGTTTTATATATGCAGCCTCCGTTTCATTCAACAAAATCACACGATCTATTCAAGATAGAATTCCAGACAGAATTGAAGGATGTAATCTACCCATCTTATATCATTTTCCCTGTTTATGCAGATAAGGTATGTAATTTGAATTACATATTTTTTTGTATGAATTAGTTGGTTCATTTTAAGTGAACGAATTATATATATGTCAATTTCATTTAATTTAGTGAAAAATTAGTTACTTAAACGTAGGTTTAATCGTAGTGACGCATTAAGTTAAATTAATTAATTAGCTAAATTAGTTAAACTTTTGTTAATATTATTAGTTAAATTTAAATTAAATGCATTTAAAAAAAGATTGTTAATTAATTAACGAAATAAATTCCTTAAATTTAGTTAAACGTAGGTGTAATTTAAACATAGGGTTAATTAAGTTGTATTTAATTAAAATTACATAAATTAGTTAAATTATAGATGATATTAGTTAGATGTAAGTATTATTTAATTCAAATGAGTTTATATATGGTTAAATATAATTATATGATTTCTTTATTAGCAATTATTGTTAAGGCTGCCTAATTTAGGATTTATAATGATTTAAATTAGGGTTAGTTAATTGAAACATTACTTAAGTATGATGATTTATGATTGTGAATTATGTAAATTAGTAAAAAAAATATAATATTAGTTAAATTTAAGTATTATTTAATTTAAATGAGTTTATTCTATATATATATATATATGCTCAAATTATTGGATTTGCTCATATTATTGAATTTAGTGAATTGTTAAATGTGCATTATTAATAAGATTAAGATGTTGCTAATTTTAGTATTGTGGATTAAATGTCATTAACGTATTGTGCATGTTTATAGTTTAATAATATTAATTATTGGACGTTAGTTACTTTTAAAGGAATTTTAGTGAAATTTAATATATAAATGTTCGTACACATAAAAAATTATTGTTAATGTTTATGAATTAATTATTAATGCCATTAACGTAATAATTTAGTGTATTTAGTGTTGAAATCATAATATTGGTTATTAGTTAATAATTTAAATGATTGCATTGAAATCATAATATTAACATATTAGTTCATCTAGTGAATTAATTGCATTGAACTTTAATTAGTGAAATTTAATATATTAATAATACTCCACATATGTTGGTAATGTTTATAATTTAGAGTTTTTAACCTGTATAATTTTTTATTATAATATTCAGGCATAATGTATAGACAAAATAGAATTTCGATGTATGATAAACATGCGGTATTGTACGGAATGAAATCATATTTTCTTGAAGGAGTTGAGGAGTTTATTGAATTTGCACTTGAACACCCGGCTTATATGAGTGGTGATAAAATCAGATGTCCATGTTCAAAGTGTAAAAATCTCAAATTTAAACACCCAGACGAAGTTGGATGAGATTTGTACCCGGACGGTTTCGTTCCCAATTATTATTATTGGACTTCTCATGGTGAACCTTTGGATCCATCTGTTTTACCACAAATCGTAGGTTCGTCTCGTAACGTCCCTGCAGAGATGAGTGTGTGGGGAGACCCTGCTGAAATGAGATGGGAGCAACGTATGGTATATGACGCATACGGTGCATCGATGTCTCAGTTCAACCCCCACAACCATCTAACGATCCTCCTGAAGCCTCGACCTCGTATCAACCACATGAGGATGAAAATATGTTATTTTATGAACCTTATGTAGATGAAGGTTTAGCTGAAAGATTTCAAAATGTTTTAAAAGCAACCGATCAACCCCTGTATGCTGATTGTGAGGGATACTCTCAGCTATCCGCCGTTACAGAGTTTATGAACATAAAAGCTGAATACAGTTTCCCTGAAACTTGCATGACTAGAGTCATGAAAGAGACGGAGGAAGTATTTGTTAATATAATATTGTAAATCATTATATTACATGTGTGTATTAATTACAAGTGCAAAAACTCAGCCGTGATTAAATCATTGTGTATTTTTAATACTCAATGGTGAGCCAAACTCAATTAAGTGCAAATGGTATTTTGCTCACAAATGAGTAGGGGGTTCTTTAGGATAGTAAGATGAAACAAAGTAAATATATCTTTTCTACGCAACTCGTACAACAGAAGACCGCATAGCGCAGTGGATTAGCGCGTTTGACTTCGGATCAAAAGGTCGTGGGTTCGACTCCCACTGTGGTCGCATTTTTGCATAAACAGAATGGTTTCCGTCAAATTTTTAGTCGTTCTCTTACTAAATTCGTTCTTTTATCAAGTCCTTTCTTTTTGGGTTTTCCTGCGATGTTTAATCTGATCCTCTCCCGCCCACAGAACCGAGCCTGAAGCCTCTGAAAGCTTCTTCCATGAACTCTCCCCTTTCAACACTCCGTCGATCCATCTCCACTCTGACCTACCGTCCGAGTAATCTTTTCCAATGCAACATGCAAATACAGGACTTCTTCCGTCTGGGGCAGGTCAGCGATGCCCGGCGGCTGTTCGACCAGATGTCTCAACGAGATTCTATGACATGGAACCTAATGATATCCGGTTACTGTAACAATGGCCGCCTTGATGATGCAAGATGTCTTTTTGATACATTTCAAGGCAAGAATGTCCGGACATGGACCTCAATGCTGTCGGGGTACGCCAAAGCTGGAAGAGTATATGACGCATCCTTGATCTTTCATGCCATGCCGGAGAGAAATGTTGTCTCCTACAATGCTATGATTACGGGGTACGTATATAATGGAGATGTTCAAAGTGCAAGGGCGTTGTTTGATGGCATGAGTGAGAGAAATATGGCTACCTGGAACTCCATGATCATGGGGTACTGCAGGATGTGTTGGATGCGCGAGGCACGTGGACTGTTTGATGTAATGCCTGAGAGGAATGAGGCTTCGTATATGGTTATGATTTCTGGTCATGTGGCAATAAGTGAGTATGAGGAAGCATGGAGGATGTTTTTAGATATGCACATGAGAGGTGAGGCTAGACCGGACAAGCCAGTATTATTGGCTGTGATGTCGGCAATCACCGGATTGGATGATGTGAGATTGGTTGCTTACTTTCTGCCACTTGCAATGAAGATAGGATACAGTAATGATGTTGTAGTAGGGACCGCAATTCTTAACACCTTCAGACGAACTATGAGTTGTGATTCTGCCTTAAAGTTTTTCAGTGATATGCCAGAGAAGAACGACTACACTTGGAGCACAATGATTTCAGCCTTCTCCCAGTGTGGAAGGTTGGAAGATGCGATTCTGTTGTATAGACAAGTTCCAGAACAAAACATTGGGACCCAGACTGCAATGTTGACTGCCTATGCCCAACATGGAAGGATGAATGAGGCGAGGCATATTTTTAACAAGATCAAGAACCCATGTGTACCTACCTGGAATGCCCTTCTTAGTGGATATGCACAAAACAGAATGGTTGAGGAGGCAAGGGAGCTGTTTTTTACCCAAATGCCTACCAGGGACATGGCTTCTTGGGGAACAATGGTTTCTGGGCTTGCTCAGAGTGGGGATAACAGAGGAGCTTTAGAGGTATTTATTGAAATGCACAGATTGGATATCACTCCAGATCATTCTATTTTAACTAGTGCCCTATCTGCTTGCGCGAACATGGGAGACGTTGTAATGGGTAAACAGCTACACTCTCTCACCATCAAGGCAGGGTGCCAGTTTAATTCTTTCTTAGGGAACGGATTGATAAACATGTATGCTAAATGTAAGAATATAGAAGATTTTTCTCAGGTATTTGATGACATGAAAGTCAGAGACAGAGTTTCCTGGAACTCACTGATCTCAGGCTTTTCAGAGAACAACATGCTGAGAGATGCTGTTGAAGTATTCAAGAAGATGCCAAACCAAAACGGTGTGGCTTGGGCCACTTTGATATCTGCATATGTCCAAGCTGAACAAGGTGACACCGCTTTCCAGTTATTCCATGACATGCTTAATGATGGAATAAAACCAAGCGAACAAACAGTCACTAGTCTACTGAGTGCGAGTGGCAGCCTCGGTTCCACAAAATTAGGGGAACAGGTTCACGCGTTAGCATATAAATTCGCCCTGGATCTGCGCTTGTTCGTTCATAATGCACTCATAAGCATGTATTTTAAGTGTGGGTCCCACAAAGGATTTCAGGTTTTTGAGGATATGGCGGTCGAACAAGGAGACATTGTCACTTGGAATGCTGTTTTAACTGGTTGTGCTCAGAACGGGTTAGGCAGAGTGGCCATCAATATTTTTGAGAGAATGAAGTTTGCAAAGGACATCCCTAACCAAGTAACCTTTCTCCAGCTATTGTCTGCTTGCAGCCATTCAGGGCTAGTAGATGAAGGTTTGAATTATTTTGATTCAATGATTCGGGACTATGGCATTCCGCCTTCGATCAATCACTATACGGCAGTAGTTGATCTTCTTGGGCGGGCCGGTAGGCTCTCTGAAGCAGAATCACTGGTAAATAGTATGCCTATGAAGCCAGACACTGTGATTTTGGATTCCCTTCTTGCTGCTTGTAAAAATAACAACAACACGAACCTTGGCCAGAAAATTGCAGAAAGATTATTTCGGATGGGTACAAAAAAATCAGGAGCATATGTGTTGCTATCAAACATATATGCTTCCCAAGGCATGTGGAAGGAAGTTGGGAACATACGAAGCACAATGCTGAAACGGGGAGTAAATAAAGAGCCAGGTTTTAGCTGGATCTATATCAAAGGAAAACTGCATTCTTTCCTTGCAGGCAATAAGAGTATGATGGAAGAGCAGTTTACAGAGATTTCTTCAATGTTGGAAGATTTCTGTGTACGGTTCAAACCAATGGGATATTTTCCTGACACGAAATTTGTTTTGCATGATGTGGATGAAGAGCAAAAGGAAGGCGAACTTCTTTACCATAGTGAAAAGATCGCTGTGGTCTTTGGCATCTTGAGATTGCCACAAGGTTCGCCCATTCAGGTTATGAAAAATCTTCGTATCTGTGGAGACTGCCATATTTTCATGAAATTCTTGTCCAAAGTAACACAACGCGAGATAGTAATTCGGGATGGTAATAGATTCCACCACTTCCAAAATGGGATGTGTTCTTGTGGAGATTACTGGTGATCGATTCCTGGGATAGTGCTTATAGAGGGATTTACTGAAACTGTGTTCTGTAAATGGTTAAATAAAATGTTGGAAGTTTTATGCAAAAACTCCTTGCTGTGATGCTGGTCCAGACCTTGGACAGAAGGCGAGTTTTGAGATGCAGAACACATTCTTCTCCATCTTAGGCTTTTGGGATATGAGGTGAGTGCAGCCAAGTGGTATTGTTTGGTGAATTTATGAAGCTTAGAAAGGTCTTTGGCTGATCTTATGCCCTTTTTCTTGCAGAGTTTACATGAGATCAAAATATTCTTTTACTGATCCATCCATTAAATTAAGCATGAATGACTAATTCACACCTAGTGGAAAACATCAAAGGCATATTTGCACTTCTCTCCAATCTTAACTTTGAACAACAACAAATACTCATTTACTTGCACTTCTCATCAAGGGCATACTTGCACTTCTCTCCAATCTTAATTTATTATACATTTATACTTTAATAATATACTAAATTAAAATATCATATACTTCTAATAATAGTATGATATGGACAACGGAGTAGTGATTAGTGTGTGATAATGTAAACCTTCTGTAATTGTACTAATATTATACTTGGGTTAAGTGTATTTTTTGAGAACTAAAATCACATTTATATGTTTATTGTTTAAATTGTTATTAATTATAATTGTAAGATTGTAACTTTTTTTAATATTCCATAAAAACCTGATTACTTGTCGCTTGTGTTTCTCTAACATCGTTCATGAGGCTATCTCAACCTCCTAACTTTAGGTTATCTTTCCTTTCCTCCTCTAGACAGTTACAAACCTTATGAGTCAGGAACAGAAAATCAGAAATCCAAACCAAATCTCTATTTTCTTGGTTTATATTTTTCCTCACCTCAAGCATTAGTCAGACCTTGTAGCTTTTAGCTTTTCATAACTTCAAGTTCCTTCAGCTTTTCTTCTACACAGACAGCTGGTGTAGATAAAAATGCAAGATATTCGCACTGACTGGGCTCATCTACCTCAGCAGATGGGTGGAGGAGGAGTGGAGGCGCCGACCGCGCTGTCTGAAGATTGCCAGAGATGAGTGAGACTGGCAAATGAGCAGGGCCAGGAAGCCATTGTAATATTGTAACTAATTACATACATAATTCTAATCCTCTCCTTAATAGCACTACAATTCTCAAAACAAAAACTCCCGCCTACCTCTCATTCTACAACATCCGTTCGATTCCTAAAATATAATCAGCGGCCTCTACATTCCATCATACACCCTTACCTTTTAATGAGTTCTTTCCTTCAATGCCTATACTAGACTTCCATTATCGACTTTCATTCACTTAGCCAATCATAGGAGCATTAGATGACCGGAACAGCGTTCCTTCGCTTCCCAATTACCTTTGCCTTTCTCACTTCGCCATCACCTCGTTCTTTCCCGTCAATATATGTACTGAATCAGGTAATCTTCCCTTTAAAACTATTTTATTTTTATTCTTTTCGGCTCTAAATCAGGTTCATGTTCATCTTTCAGAGTTCGGGTTTGTTATAGTTAGAAAATAAATTCATTACTTTATGGGCTTCGATTGATATTGTGGAAATCATGTTCTTTATTCATCTTCATCATTAAGATGAAGCCTTAGGGTTATGATACTTCGAATCTTCAATGAATGGTTCTGTCAAAACCAAACCTGCTCATGTTTGGGTTCCTTAGCTATTTGCACTAAATGCTTTCTGGTAATACGGTGGCCGCTTACTCCAATTTATGTGAATTGCATCTCCGATTAAGGAAGGATAATTTTCTAGTGATTTTGTTCTGGATTTTTTTGATATGGTAGTTTGTTCAGGAAAAACCATTTTCCCTTGATTTGGCAGTTTAGGTTCACACATATAGAAGATTACTAATGATTATAAATGTGTTTGTATCTTATTTTTTCATTTTTTATTGATTATTTCTACTCAAAGGATTAATCTTTTTTGTCTTTGAGCAGGGGATTCAGTTATTTGTTGTTCTTCAATTTCACTTTTTAAAATTACTCATCAACATATTGTATTTTTACTTTAGGTTTAAAATGTATATATCCCGACTACTGAAAAACATGTACAACAATTTGATATTCTTATCCTCACATGAAGGGAAAATGATTGATGGTGAGCAACTACTACTAATTTTAGAGGCAGAAACTCTTGAAAATTATGAGACATACTCAAATATTTTAAATTTATACTTCTTAGAGAGTAGGTTCTCTTGGGATTAAGGCTTGGATGTTATTGAGAGAGTAGGTTCTTTTAAAAGTGTTTCTCTTTGTTTTTTTAACGTTAAACATTTTAATATTTTCTTGGTTTACATGTTCAAACATGTAAACCAAGTCTGTTTAGGTCTTCCTCTCCCTCTCTTCTCTGCCTCTTCTCCCCACCTCTCAAGTCGTCTAACAGGTGCATCACTCGCTCTTCTACGCACATGCCCAAACCACCGCAAACGAGACTCCTGCATCTTATCATCTATAGGTGCCCAAAAAAAAGTTTTTCAACTGTTAGCCTAAAATTCTTTCTTCACTTTTTGAACCTTGGTATCACCCAAGAACTACCAGGGGTTCAATATCTCAAGTATCAATTTATTTCGTGTTTGATCAATTTATTTCGTGTTTAAATTATGGTAGTGAGGAGATGCTCTAAAATTATGGAAACAAGATTCATAGTACATTTGGGGATAACATACTATCCTCCTATAATGAAGAAGCTATTGGTGGATCAATGCATCAAGCACCTCCAGTTGATCAAGAATTGCTTTGTAGTGTTAAAGATCTTTGAAGAAAGTCCTTGCATCAAATGGTTAAACAGCTGGTATGTATATATAACGCTTGAGATAAACACTTGGTATATATCAAACTTGCATACAAATGCATAATTTAAAATTATTGTGTTTGAGAAAGTCATCAGGTGTATGTCATTTAGGAAGTTAAATTTACATCTAAGAGAAGACCTTAAAATGTTATGTCATGAAAGAAATCGTAATTGAAATGCAACGACCGCAAATCATATTGTTCAACATCCATGCATTTATCGTAATTGAAATGAAACTGGCAAATCATATTGTTCTGAAAGCGATGGAAGACAACTGCATTGGCAAAAGTAGACATAATACAAAAGTTCTATCACATGATTCACTCTCTTTCCTTTATTGATTTTTTCTTTAAAAAAGATTTACAATCAATTCTTGCCCTCACTTATTCTTGCCCTCACTTTCTTCTGCCTTCATATTATTTCAGATTCTCCGATTGCCCTCATCAAAATCATCACCAAAATAACTGAAAAAACTGCATATTCTTGCACTCCATTTCATTTTCAGTAATCTGTTTTTTCCCTTACAGTGGTTTTTATTTATTCCTTCACATTCAATTTCTTCATAAATTTCTGTAATGTAGAGGAGATTGAGGCTTGGATGTTGTTGTAGAGGAGATTAAGATATCTTCTACCTATCATCAGATTTTGGTTAGCAATAGGGCTAAACAAAGTATTCTTCAAGCAGATTTGGGCTCTTGGCAATATGTTCTCCGAGAGATGAGGTTTTCATGATTCCTAATTCTTTTTTCCTAATCCAGACAATACTTTAATTTATTCCCTCACCTTTGAATTCTTGATTATTTTCTTTAGTGTAGAGGAAAATGGGCTGCTTCACATTGCACTGTACTTGAACATGATAATAGTAATCATTTACTAACCTGATTTTGTGCATAAACTTTTAAGATAATAATAGGTTATAAAAAATGAATGTAAACAGTCCATAAAGATGGAGTGCATAAACATGCCACACTGTCATTTTTTTAATAGTTAAATGATTTCAATTGATTGATCTGAAAATGATAATTAGAATTGAATAGATTGGTCTGAAAATGATTCAATAGTGAAATATTTTCTTCACAACATGCAGCGCTGTCATTTTTTTATTTCAAAGATCAATTTTATTGAAGATAAAATGCATATGCTTGAAGACCAATACTCCTAGATCTCAAAGCAAAAGGATTGAAATCACACTTGGAAAATACTTTATGTATGTTTTGCAATTACGTTTGATTGCCTTTTAAGTTCCCCATTTCTCATACCAACCTAGTATATTTGGGTGAAAAATGCATAATTCTTGGTAACTAAGGGAGTGTTTGAACTCAATGTCTGATTCAGATGTGATAAACAATGCAGAGGCATTCTTTGTTGCTTATTCAGGAAGAGGTTAGGTACATATACTACAAAAATACAAATAGCCATTATGTCCAGGCCAAGGTTGTCAAAAGCGCTCACCCCAGCGCTTAAGCGCACAAGGCGCAGCGACCAACACCCCCAACGCCTGAGAATAGGAGAAGTGCATATCTTTAATAACACTCAGCCCATGAAAATAATAGGGTAAAACCAGTAAAACCTACGTAAAATTAAGAGTCTAAGTACGTAAATAACGTAAAACTTGCGCAAGACACTACAGCTATCATCGCTAGCCATTCTCGCTCTCCTCACTCGACACTCAAGTTGCTATACACCAGTCTGTTCTTTCAGCTTTCGTCAACATCTCAAGCAAACTCAGTTCTCCCTCACAGCACTAAACAAGGTATGTGTTTTTTTTCATGCAGTCCTCTTCATCTACTCATATTACACTAGTGTCTAAATATTATAGTGTATATGTGTAATAAAGTAATAATACTATGTATTGGTATATTAGTATGTATATAATACTCATAGTACTAATATTCTGATTTAGCGTTTTCTGTGAAAATAGAGGAAAACTTAGGAATTCGATTCTGCTGTGCAAAAGTAAAATGTTTGATTAGTTATAAAGAATATATTTGAAGTGATAAAAATGAATTTGAGAGCTTTTAAACTCATATCTTGCTGTGTGTTTATCCGTTTCGAGCGTATTATATCTCGTTGGAAAGATAGATCGGAGCTCTAAATCTATTGCTCCAACTTAATTTACAATGAATTAATTAGAAGGTTAAAACTGTGTATAACATAATTGTCCTTTGTGTACAAGAACACATGTGTGTGTCACACGTGATATGATTTGGTTTGGATTTGTAATTTTTTAAAAATATATAAAGGTTTTATTGAATTTCTTTAGTTCGGTTTGATTTTGTTCAGTTTGATTTTGTTCGGTTTTCATCAATTTCAGTTCGGTTTAATACGGTTTGGAAGAAATACTACCAAACTCAAATCAAATTACATATGGTCCGATTTTAATTTGATTTAGTTCGATTTAGTACGGTTCAGTTCGGTTAATTGGAAGGAATTTCTGATAGATCGCCAAATAATTTCTGGAAAATTTCCAGCGTCGGGTATTTCGATCCAATTACAAATAGTTGATCTTATTTTTGTAAAGAAGTTACGTAGTACTTTTTATTCATATTAAGTTAAATAATTCTACGGAATTGAATACTCCACACATAATAACTTATAAGAGAGAACAACAATTTTATGGGAATGTGTGTGCTCATATTATTATTATAACCTAATAATAATAATAATAAAATAAAACATACGGAGTAATGATGTTTAGTCTTGCAGGCCGCAGCAACCGTGTGGGCTTTTATATTTGTTGTTACATGGGCTTCTCCGAAGTAGGCTCCCGTGCTCTCTAAGGAGCACATAACATGCTCCATAAAATTTCTGCAATAAGTACCTCATACAAACTATAGAGTATTTGGTTAAATGCACAATAACAACAACAACATCCAAGTCTTAATCCCAAAAAATTTTGGGGCCGTTTAAAATGAATCGACCCATGATATCGATGTCAAAAAGAGAAGATGACAAGAAAAAAACGAATATGATAAAGATAAATAAACATAAGATAACAATAACATAAGAATATAAGAAAGATAAAAGATAAAAAGATAAAAGAACATAAAAAACTAGAAGATAAAAATAACATAAGAACATAAAAAGATAAAAAAGATAAACGATAAAAGAGAAGAGAGATAAAAGATAGAAAAGAGATCGATCGTCCACCCGAATGTGCGCCCTCCACTTTGCCCTCTCCAAATCCATACACATGGCAATAGAAATAATATTTAGTTTTGTAATGGACTACACATGCCAACACATAGGCTCATAGGACGAATCCAAATAATATTATTAGATTTACAATAATATTTAATTTTTTTATTTTTTTCACAAATGTTATTTATATTTTTTTTTTCAATTCAAGGAACACCTTTTTTAGTGCTCTGTTAGAGCTTGCCACAATGGAGAATAGTCCATCACTAATGATGAGTCAAACACTAGAGCTAATATGAAAGAGTATTTTTCCAAAATATTACAAGTAAGCAATGAGTAAAGCAGAATGAGGGAAGTGTGAATCAAATATTCACTCGAGTATATAGCAAGAACAACTTCGACATATTAGTTGGGTTCAATAAGGGATCAATACTTCATGCATGTCAAAGTAGGAATCGGAATAGAGCAGTATCAATTTGATAATTATTGGAACGATTGACTTGTGAATAATAAAGTAAAAACTTGTGTGGTTGAAATTTTTACCGAGGATGGAGATAATTTTAACCATGTATCTGTTACTTTAAATGGAAATGACAAATTTTTTGAACATCTAAAAAAGAAAATTTGGTCATATTTTATGGGAAGGAGGTCGTATAGATTTAGGTGTAAAAATATTCATTTGTATTTATTTTGTTTGTATTTTCTTAATTTGTTTTGCTTTCTAAATACTCACAAGACGAAAACATTAAAGTGTGGATATGCAAAGATGAAGTAGGAGTTTTTCAACCATTTGTAATGTGAGTAATAATTTAATTTGAGTTTGCACCTCATATTGTTGTCCAAATTGGACTTTGCACCCCATTTTTAAAATCTTTGTTTTTGCACCCCAACCCCATATGAAAAGACAAAAATACCCTCGATTAGGAATATGTTGAAGGTCAACATAATTATTAATGGAGGGACATTTTGTCATTTCACATGGAGTCGGGGTGCAAAAACAAAGATTTTTAAAACCAGGGTGCAAAGTCCAATTTGGACAATAAAATGGGGTGCAAACTCAAATTACCCCTTATTATTATTGTTGTTGTTTATGATTTAGTCATTTATATGATAACTTATACATAGTATTTTATTTCTATATACAAATTGTATCCCGTGCAACGTACGGGTAGCATACTAGTAATATTATAGAGTGATTTGTGTAACATTGTTCAACTTCTATATTTTTACTAATAGTATACTGGTTGTTAAATTAGATTTTTGTGATGTGAGTACTCTTATTTGTATAGTCATAGTGTTATTCTGCTATTTTTTATGAATGTTATACTGTTAATATTATTTTTATTCTTTTAAATTCGGATACTAATATTGTTATTGAAATTGAGATAGTAGTTTTGTTGTTATTATTGTTGTCGTTGTTATTTACTACCCCAACTCCCAAGTAGTTCTACAGATTGTTATTAAGAGGCCGTTTGTCAACCCTCATTTTCGGCTTATCAGGCTTACCAGCCAACTTTTTTAGCAAACACGTAAATTTTGCTTTCGCGCGCTGAATAATGTAATAAGCCGAAAAAGTAAGGTTAGAGTTACTTTTCTGGCTGTATTGACTGAAGTTACTGTAGATGATTATTTTAGCTATTTTTACATATAATTTTTTTTTTTTATTAATAAAATATATTTTAATTTTTTTTTGTATCAGCAGAAGCAGCCAATGCAGCCACTTGAGCCAGAACTTCATAAATTTCAACAGAATCAGCCAAAACAACCGATTTTCGTGTTACCAAACGGGCTCTAAATTTGTCATTTAATATTGTTATTAAAATTTTGATATTACTATTGTTATTAAGTTTGTAATTTTGATATTGTTGTTAGAATTTTGAATGTATAAATGTTATTGACATTCTCATATTGTCGTAGTTATTTAAGAAAGACTGATACATCGCTGTGAAAAAGAATCAAGACTGATGCCTTAAAATATATTCTAAATTTGGAAATTATTATTTGCTTCAATTTAGGCAAATGAGTCCAATTATAAAATTATATACTAGTTGAATTGCTGGTGGTGGGGGTACACTTGAATAATTTATTTAATTCTTTTTCAAAAAACTAAATATAATTTTTAATCTACAATTTTATATTGTTTGGTTTTTTTGGTTTTATTGTTTGTTCTATTTGGATAGTTATATTTTTTTACGGAGTAGTACTAGAAAGAAGTTTCTTCTTCTCTATGATGTAAGCGTTAAAAACTCTTCACATAATGAATACTTTCATATGAGATAGGCGTGGACTCGGGCTGGGTCGGGCCCGGGCCGGGCCTAGGCCCGGTCGGGCCGCCGGTTTGTATGACATGAGCCCGGGACCGGCCCGAGGGTTGGACAGGTCCGGTTCGGGTCGGGCCACCCGCCCGGGTCACGGGTCGGGTCCGGTTCGGGCCGGTTAAAGTTTTTTTTTATAATTTATATTTTATAGTTTTATACGAGTATTAAAAACAAACTTCAAGTGCATTTATTTGAAATGAAATAGGAATTACATTTGAAAATTAAAACAAACTTTAAGAGACAAACATTTTGAAAATTGTAATCAATCAGAACTTCCCGCACCTCCCGATCATTTGGTTTTGTCACATGACTTCATATGCTTGATTGTCATCCCGTATCCGCCTGAAACCTCCATGCTACATTTTTTCTCGCACCATTTGCAAGTTGCGTACCACATCCCGGTCTTCGGGTCCTTCTGCTTATCAAAATTATACCGTATAATGGCATCTTGATTTTCCATCTTAACTTCTTAAGTATAAACTATAAAGTAGATATATAAATAATAAATATAATATATTGGAGAATAAGAGAATTAGAGAGTAGAGAGTTAAGAATAGGATTTAGGAAGAATTGGAGAAGAGATGAAAAAATGTTTAAGATTAGGAGTATTTATAGGTTTTTTTACCCCCCACCCCCCACCACCACCCAACCCCCCCGGACCCCCCAAGACCCACCCAACGGCTATGTAGCCGTTTGGGTTGTCCCCAGCACACCCATAACGGCTAGTAGCCATTTAAAAAAAAAATATGACCGTTGGACCCGGACCCGGGTCGCATTTTTCCGGAACCGTGCCCGCCCCGTCCATTCCCACCGGTTCGGGTCTACACCCGGTCCCGGATCGCCCGACCGGGCCGGTCCCGGGCCCGCACAGTACCGGGCCGGGCCGGGTCACGGGCCGGGTGGCCCGAACCGAATCCACCCCTAATATGAGATATAATTCCGGAGATGTAATGTCTAATACTCTAATCATCTAATGTGCAAATGCAACACTTTTTAAATCAACAACTCACTTTTTATATTACTATGAAAGAAAAAGATGCCAAACTTGCAATTATTGCAAAAAACAATCATTAATATGAAATGAAAGGGGAGAGTATGAAGTAATGAAACCTTTCGAGAACATTTTAATGTAAAACAGCGCATGAAGGCAATATCAACAAAAGGCTTAGGAATACAAACACGAACTTAAAGTGTGCAATTCTAGGCAAGGAGCCGAGGACCGATGTGTGTAATTGAAAAAATGAGAAAAATCCCAAAATAATAACAAATTTTTTTGAAATCTCAAAATACAACTATCATGTTTGTATTTTCTAAATAGGAATAATAACTGCAAGCTTAAAAATTACTGTCACATTTAAAATCTTGAAATGACAAGACATAACTATGGATGGACTCAGGTCCGGGCCGGATCCAGGCCGGGTCCAGGTCGGGCCTAGGCCCGGGCGGGCCGGCAGGTCAGAAATGGTGGACCCAGGACCGGCCCGAGTAACCACCGGGTCCGGTCCGGGTCCGAGCCGGGCCCATTATATTTTTATTTTTGTTTTCCTCTTCCTAATTAACCCCCCTCCCACCCCAAACCACCCCAAATGGCCCAAAATACCCAACCCAACCCGAAAATTTAAAAAAAAAATTGGGAAAAAAAATAGTTTTTGAAAAGGAAAAAAAAACAAATAAATGTGCATTGTTATTTTAATACTTTTGTCAAACACCTTTAATGTGTTCGCTGAGGGCTTGCAACTTGCAAGTAATCTGAAACTACATGTAAACATATAATTCATACATTGATCATTTTAGCTTAAACCTTAAAGATTAAAATTAATGATTTTAAGAGAATGAGACGGCGAGGAACCGGATGCCAGGTAAACTGGTACATCTAACACCCTTGTTCACCTTAATATTGAAAGAGTGACAGTTTTATACTGTTACAAAAACAAGAACAACCTCAGCAAACGTGCAATTAGAATACGCGACGAGATACATAGAAACGGGTCTAGATGCCATGATTTAAGCTGGCTATACTCTGCGCAATAAAGTGATAGCATCCTTCCTGGACTCATGTTCAACGACTTCAAGAATAGCTCAGGTTGTGGTAATATCTTCCTGAGAAAGAAGATTTGAGCAAATAATAAATGCCAAGGGTCCTTTATAAAGTACAGCAAATAAAAGAATTAAGCCGCAGATGATTACCAGAGGACTTAATCTGTGTCAAACTTGATCTTCTTTGGAGCCGTCTCAATGTTACCAACCTGCAGATGATAAGTAAATTTAGAAGATATCATTTCAACTCATTCTTAGAGGAGCTTAAAGCAGAACCTGTGGAGAGATATTATAGAAGCACAATACCTGATGTAACATTTAACTATTTTACGACAATATTGCAAGACAAGATAGGCCTATGACCATTTCCTCAAATATCTTGAAAACATATAGCACAGATATGATGAATTAATTATATTACAACACAGAGTGCATTAACGCAATGACCAAAATCAAGAGGTTTTTCCTTGAATATTACTTAAATAAAAGTGATGGACAAAACATGACTTAAGTTACTACAAGTATATTATCATAGTCACTACAATGTAAATTAGAACATCATCATGGTCATTAAAGTTATTATTATTGTCACTGAAATATACGAAGTCACTTCCATTACCCTTATTTTAGTCACATAGTAGTATTTGTCATTATTTCAAAAATCAATTCCTAGAGAATAGAAGCAAATTAACAATTGGAATGATGATAGACCAATAATACTCCGTATGTCCCAAAACGATATTTATTATTTTGCTTTTCAAGCCAAATATCATTAATTCTGATCACTAAGGTTTATGCAGTAATAATTACTCTCGCAACTAAGGTTTGTTTCAAAATTTTGTTCCCGTTCTTTTTAACAAAAGAATTGTGCAGATGACAATCCTCTTCAATTTTTAACAAATGTCTACCACAAATTTTTCATTTTCTTAATAAGCAAGCCTCAAGAAATTGGGAGCTTGGGGCAGAGGAAATACTATTTTCCTAATTTTCAAACGCATTCTCATGGGGCATATGAGAAATCACAACAACAACGTCCAATCCTTAATCCCAAAAGAGTTTGGGGTTGACTAAAATGAATCGGACATATGACAAGAGAAATCACAATTGATGTTTTGTATTTACTGTTTGAAGCAAGGATCTGATTATAATTACCATTCACACAGTTGTTCAGAGGAAAGAACAATCCTTTACGAGTTATGCTGAAGCGTGTTCGTGAGAAAGAACAATTAATGTCTACTTTTATAAAATTCATGATTCAAGAAAGAACCAAACACTCTCCATTCACACTTATTCAGATTACTAACCAGTATCCTGATATAAGCCAACAACACTTGCACCTGGTTTACTTCATGCCTATAGTTTTTTAGTTGTAACGGCAATAGGGGGTGTTAGTATCTACTTCTTAAAACTGCTTCTGCTTTTTCAAGGAGCTTGAGCAAATATTGGAGTGGTTGGGTGAAAGTGCAAAAGTACTTCTAAGTTCTCCAATTTGCTCCTAGAAGGCTAGAAGCAGTTTTTTAGAAGCTAAGAGATCAGCTTCTGAAAAAATGATTATGATTCTACTTCTTCTAAAAAAGAAGTGGAAGCAGAACCAAATTCCAAACACACCCTAAATGTAAAACTTTTAGTTACAGTGATCAATCTTTAAAACCACATTTTCTCTGTTCTTGAAATTTAAAAATCCTTTATTGACACTTGAAAATAAAATGCATCCATTACACGTTACCATGTGCCTAAGAGCATCGCATTAGAAAAAACCTAACTTTACAATCCAAGAATACTCATGACTAATTGCTTAAGTATATATTTGTTAAATAAGACTTTTTGTAATAATTTTACTGGTGTACATCATTTTCAAATGCGGATAGTGAAGAGTATTAAAGTCAAAATGAAACTTATATTGGGACTGAAGTAGTGAGTAGTGCCGAATAATAGAAAGGTTGGTTTTTCTTTTGTTTGTCAATTGCAATGTCATGGCCATTTAAATCTGATTCAAATTAGATTAGCAACCAACTCTGCTCTTACTGGCATCCAAATTTTGAGGTGAAGTAGTGGACTAATGGGCATTACACAACATGAGAGGCAAAAAAATGAGGAATGTGCTCTTACAAATTCTGGGCATTCATAATCTATACCAGCAGCCTCAATCTTTTTAAGCCTCTTGCGATCCCGCTTCTTTATTCCTTCAACCAATTTCTTGTGTTCTTCCAGAGTTCGTTCCTGATATTTTTTCAAGAATGGAATGATATCAAGTAATGGAAACAGCTCATGTAGGGTTTTGGGGATGTATATGAGTACTAGTGTGTGAGAAGACAGTCTCCATGTCGTGAAATACCTTGTTGTGATTCTTTCTTTCAATGTTGACCCAATCCAAACGTATGTACTTGCGGTTAGCGTGCTTCCATCTACGGAAAAAATCAAATATTACGCATGCACCCCATTTGTTGAACAATAGATACTGACCATAACTTATTTTCATTTTCTTGGGGGAGGGGCGTGCAAGTTGTTTCTAACCTACCCCTGGGCCATGTCTGTCAACGAATGTCTATTTCAATATTAATCTTGATGACTTCACATAGAAAGTCCAATAAGTGTTAATCTATATTTGTGCAATTCCAGCATTTCAAATAGAGATAAGCAATGAGACGATAACATATAAAGGGCTTCCCGATACAATTTTCAGATTACCCCAAAACCACTCCCCAACAATAACCAACATTAACTCTCAGTCCCAAAATGATTGTTTTATAACATGTTTTTTACTAGTCATCCATAGATCCCATTTTAACTTCTTACATCATACCTTGAAAAAATGCTCTACATGTTGAGCTTAAATAACTAACTATGTATAGTAGGCCTGTAGGGCCATTTGCTAGGTCACTTAACATGTGGGCACTCTGAAACGTCAACTATTTTGGTACAGGAGTAATAAGGAGTCACTTTCCAATAAAGAGCCCATACAATTTTGGATGAACACGCTCAGGAGGAACAATACGCACTTGCAGCACATGCTCAAACAAAAGATAATTATGCATTGTTTCTGCCACAATTTTTGCAACCTGCAATACAATAAAAAGCACAAGGAAAGACCGAAAGAGTGATAATATGCTTTGCAAAGGCAAGAGTCTAGTAAAAAGAAATTTATTAGAATGAAGTCAACCTCTGGTGACTCAAATTCTATGAAACCATAATGCTTGGATTTTCCCGTCTGCAAAACATCACACAATTACCACACATGTTAGTAAAGAAAATACCGAATCTAAAAAGAGAGAACAAATGACATGAATTAAAAATTAAAAATTAATAAACATTCCACATGTGCAGAATGTTGATGAAAGTGGATGCAGTCATGGAGTGAAACTTTCTGAAATACCAGTTTCTTAAATTAGTGAGCATAAAATGGAATTATGCATTCAGTTCCTCAAACACATTTAAAACTTAAACATTATGCCACATAAAGAACCAAAAAGATTTCGGAAGCATGTTCAGATGAATAAAATAAGCCACATAAAAAATATCAATGATAGCATCAGAGAACTGTAACCTGGACAGGATTCCCTGGTTGATGACCTTGACTTAAAGAATACAATGAGCACTAAATAAGCACAAAATCTGGATTATATACATGCAAAGCTATCTAGCTGTGTGCAGTTATTTAGCAGAGACTATAATCTCAAGATTGTCATAAAATCAAGAATATCTATGTATGACAGTATACAATACTTTCATATATGAATTGTTTTAACCAAAAAAATTGATGAACCGGCCAATAAGAAGCATAGTAAACTGAATAATGGCAATAAGAACTTAGCTGTGGAAATAAACCCACATTGTTTAGTATTTACCAAACTATCACCGAAATAATGAAACAAAGAAAGAAGTAGAAAGACCAACCTTCCTATTCCTAGCAATTCTAAGCCTCTTGATGTCCCCAAATTGCTTAAAAAACCCTGCCAAAGACACTCTGTTAAACTCAGTTTCGGACTTCTTCCGAATAATCATATGGATGTTGCAAAATATGAACATAGTAAGCGCATACATATTAGATTATAAAAAGATAAATGCAAACCTTCCATTTCATTTTCATAGAATCCATGTGGAATTCTTCCAATATACAAAACTGTTGCTCTGGTTTCTTTTGGTTTTGTGATGGGAAACTTCTTTGCTGGTCCACCTTCCAACGGCTACTTATCCAGAAAGAGAAAAAGTCAGTTATGCTCATAGAGTTGTAGATCAATGAATCTCTTTCTTTATGTATGAACAAGGTTAGAAAAATGATTCAAGCACGTGTGGCTGGTAAGTGATTAGGAAGTTTCCATTGCTGATAAAAACATATTTTTATTACGAAGTATGCTGGTGAGCACTGACCACTAAACACCAGTCCGTTAGCAATCTAAAAAATATGCAATTCGACACAGGGATTTAATATTGTGATATCAAGCAGGCATCATATACATCTAAAAGCGAAAAATGGAACACAAAAAACGTAGAAGATGAAGCGGGTGCAATACCACAAAATCGGGAGCCTCGTCCCTGGAAGTTACAGAAGCGGCCAATTGCAATGAACCCTTCTTCACCATCTTCATTTGAGCCTTCTTTGCTTTAACTCCCATCTCTACCTATGCCTTCCCGCACCACTTCTTATCGAGAGCTTTAACGCGACTGAAATCCAGCGCCGAAAGAAGGAAGAAGAGATGCGACAGAGAAGGAGAGCGTGGAGGAGGAGTAGAGGTAGCAACAAAAGAATAGGGTTTATATAAAAAGTATAGTTATAACAAAAAAACATTTTTTAAATTTAATGCACCAAACCCATGTCATATGGAAATTCGAGCCATTAACCCCGTAATTTAAAAAATGCGTCAAACTCTTGCATTTTAATTAATACTCCGTAATGCGCAAAATCCCTTATATGAACAAATTCAATTGTCAAATAAAAGAAAATTGATTAACATTTTTGTATGATTTAGAGATTTTGACATATTTACTTGCATATTCAATCAGAATATTAAGAAAAGTGATTTCAAAATCATTAAATTTATTCATAAAAGGGGTTTTGTGCATGATTAATTAAAACACAAGAGGGTTTGATGCATTTTTCAAATCACAGGAGGCTAATGTGCTGAATTTTTATATCACTAGGGGATTTGATGCATTAAACCCAATAAAAATACGGAGTACTGCTGAAAACATTGGGCCGTTTGGTTCGAGGAATGTGAGATTATCGTGGGAATGTTAGATTGATGGGTATGCTAGATTGATGAGAATGTATTCATTTTGTATCTCATTTGTGTTTGGTTAAGATTAAATGAATGTGACATTAATTTGTTTGGTTAAATGATATTAATATATTATACTGCAGATTTGGTGAATTACTTTAATGCTCTTCAAATATTTTCTCTTAACACAATGCACTTGGTACAATCGGATCGTGCGTCACTAACGAATGACCCGATTATTCAAGGCACTTAGGGCGACAATTAATTAATTAAATTATGGGTAAAAATAATGTTTGATCCTATTTAGGGAATATTAGAGATTGACTCTTTTTTTAAAAAATAGAGATCGACTCTTATTTAAGGAAAATTTGTATGTTATATTACTCCTATTAAAGGCAATTCGCTGTCTACCACTAATAGAAAATTAATGTTTGATCATTTTAAATCATGTTTACTTTATTCTTACTTTATTAATTCACTATTAACCACATAAAATCATTTTTCTTAATAACCAAATCATCTCCTCATGTTTCAATGTTAGTGAGACGAAAGTAGTGCAATATAGTTCATGATCACTTAAGTTTAAAAATTCAATATAAGTTACTATGATTAAGTTACTAGTATAGTTACTAGTCACATTTTTCTAAACAATCGTTTGTTTTAGTCATACATATGCAATTATTTGATTAATTTTTAATAAATCTAATTCAAAAGTATATGATAGTTGATGAAGTATATGGCCCAGGGACCCCCGGCCCACATACTTCCACAACTGCAATCAGGCCCAAACGGGCCAAGCCCGAGAAAATAAAGCTCTAAAGCAGCCCACAATACGCAAGAGGTTGCCTTCGGCCCCATGACCGGAGGCTACCGTTGACGGAGCTGAGCTCAGAAACATCACAGGAGAACAAGGCTTGAAAACCAAGTCTTCGGCATATACAGCCCTCGACACGGAGAGGCTCCCGGTTAGAAGAGCCTTCGGCCCAACATCCTTCAGGCGAAGGAATTTCCCTTGACAGAATATCCTCTCCACATGCGCCTGGATCACTGTACTAAGTACAAACGTCACATCCAACCACCGCATTTAATGCGGCCACATGCAGGTGTCGGTGTCACCCGATTGAGGTGACCCCCGACCACCAGATTATTGACACATGTCCCTGTCTAGCATTTATTGCTGCTATAAATAGCAGCCCATTTCCCCTTCGTAGATCACCACAAATTCACATACTGAATACATATTCTCTATCTACTTATTACTCTGACTTCTCTCCACTTATTCCCCGAAATATCCCCTCGGATAAGCTACCCCCGAATACACTATCCATCAATAGTATTTTTAAATCCAATACGGATGGGTTTCTTTAAAAAATCCAATACTCATGGGTTAAGAAAAAATAAATATGCCATTTAAACCATTTTGATTAAATGAGAATGGATATTTTTGGAATAAAACCTATCCCCACCAAGGAATGTAAGATAACCTAAGAGGTGTGTGGGTTTGAGATTAAGGGGCATGTCATTAATTTCTTCTCATTTTGGGCATGTAGCATTTCCCAAAAAAAATCAAACTTGCAAACCAAATACGGATATTTCACATTCCGGGCATGAGATTTCGACCTGCATAGGTGATTGTCCCGAACCAAACATGCCCTTAAAAAGTGGTTTTTCTTTTCAACCGTGATTTTATTTTAAAAAGAAAATAGTATTAATATTATTTATGCATTTTATCCTATCTGGATAAAATGCATAATTATGTAATTTTTCCATTTAATTAAAAACATTTTTATTTTATTACTATCTGCGTCTCACTAACATTTGGACATGAGATGTGGTGTGATTATTAACACAAATGGATTTATGTGTTTCACACGAAGTATTAAATTGCTAAAGTAAGGATAGAAGAAGAAAGATTTAGAACCAAACAAATTTCGAGTTTTACTAAATTTGGGAATGGACAATCTTAGTGAAATGAAACGAAAAAGAAGGATGGAATAATTTTAGTGGGGCGGAGAGAGTATGATTTATCTACTTTATTCTGATCGTATATTTTATTAATCAATGTAATGAAAGATGTATAGATTTTGATCGTATTTTGATGGTATGTAATCAAAGTTGATTTATATTGTTCAATATAAATTGTTGAATAATTAGAATGTTTTCAATTGAAATGATTTCAATCCAAATGAAATCAAATCACGCCTCTTCTTCCGGCGAGGCGAGGGTACCTGGCGAGCACTCCGTAGTGCCAGGACGCCTAGTTGACGACTAGACGACGCCGTGACAAGTATGTTTGGCTCCATTGCAAATGATGGAAAATGAATTGATTAGAATATTGTAATTAAATAATTTAGACATAAATAGATGATCAAATAAATAAATTGAGTCAATTAAATGCATGATAGATATCATATCCTCATTTTTACCAACGGACCATTCTTTTTTCGGATAAATTCAAAAGTAAAAAAAAAAAACTTTTTTTGAAAGAAAGTAAAAGAAAAAACTTACGGGAGTGTTTGCAAATGTTTTTGCTTTAATAGTAAAAGTTAAATATGTGGAAACTTACGGAAAAAGTGATTAATAGTAAAAGTTAATATTGTTTGAGAAAAAATGATTTTGAAAAATAAAAGTTGATAGTGTTTGATAAAATATGTGCTTTTTGTGTAATAGAAAAAGTAAAAAACAGTTTTCAGCCAATAGCCGAAAAGCGATTTTTCTAAGCTTTTGCAAACAGACCCTTTTTTTAGATCACTTTACTTGAAACTAGCAATTTTTTTCTACAACCCTCAAATTGAATTATTTTGAATGATCTTCATTCTTTATTAATTCCATCATTTGCAATGGAGCCAAAGACTCGCTATTTTTTGGCTCGGGAATATGATGAAATAAAGCAAATGGGCTCACTAAACTGTCTGCGCTTCTATGTTATGATTACTTATGAAGCAACAGTCAATTCATGCAATTTTTTACGCGATTTTCACTATGGATCATCCGGAAACAGTCTCTTTGTGCTTTAGTACAGGGGTAAGACTGCGTACATCCGACCCCTCTTACCTCATTGTAGGTGGGAGCCTTTGCGGCACTGGATTAATGATGATGATGATATCTTCATTCTTTATTAGAATTCCACAAACACATACTACTTCCGTCCCAAAAAACTTTATCATCTCACAAAATTAGGACTATGATTTAGATTAGTACTACCTTCGTCCCTTAAAACTTTGACAAAGTTGACCAGCACGTAGAATAATAAAGTAAAAACTGTGTGGTTGAGGTTTGTACAGAGGAGAGAGAAATAATAGAAACCACAAAATAATTGATTAAAAGAGAAAGTGGCAAAGTTTTTTGGGACGTCCCAAAAAGGAAATAACAAAGTTTTAAGGGATGGAGGGAGTATAATCTTATGGAAGTTATAAATTTTATACTTTTGTAAAAGTATTTTTAACAAAGAATAATTTCACACCATTTTTGTATTATAAATAATTTTCAATAAAAACATATTCTTGGGCAACATGTTTTGGGACTAAGAAAGATGTTCTTATTTACACGCACATAATCCTTCAATTCTTTGAAACATATACAGTTAGACATTTAGGGAAATATGCCTCTATTGTTTTACACATTTCTGAGAGAGAAATCTCCTACAAGAATACAGCCACTGTTAATGTGAGTTACCACAGAAGTATAAGTTCCAAAAGTTATTGAGTAAACTTCAATTTTACTATCTGTACCTGAAGAAATAGGAACAAAATTTTTATGACACTACATAGTTCGCACTTTCTCCTAAGCCTTGGCCACCAGCAGCAGCACATGAGAGTACCCCAATAGAATCCATGTAAGCCCCTCCGATTGCAGATTCCAACTTACACAGGAAAGAGTTATCAGAATCACCAGAAACTCTTCCAGTCTTCAATTGGGTAGCAATCACAACAACATTATCATTATCCACGACATCCACTTCATACAACTCCTCAAAAACACCTTGAAACTCGTTTATTAATGTTTCATAGAATCGTTTGCTCAAAGGGATGAAATTGATGATGATAACTCCATGCTCACTAAGAACTCTCTTAGCTGCCAGAAGGATAGGTTTCTGAATAAACTCAGGTGGGGGTGCACTTGTTTCCATTCCAGCGCAGCTTGAGTCAAGATCAACCATAATGGCATCAAATTTGCCATCTACATTGCCCAGAATACTATCTTTTTTTGCATCAATGTCTAGTTTTCTGATCATATCCATTCCATCTCCTATACATAAACGAATTGATTCACTGTCTTTCAGACCAAAATATTTTCTTGCAATTCTCAAGACAGATTCATCCTCCTCAACACCTAAAACATCAAAGTTCAACTGGGAATTCAAGAAACTAAGTAATGCTCCTCCTCCAACCCCCAAACACAATGCTTTTGGCCTAAATCCTCTTTGTATTCGCTCGTCCAGATATGAAGCAATTACAGATAGCCCAGCAACCATTGGGGTCAAATAAGGATGAACTAAAACCTCATTATCTACTATAAAATTCACTGTTTCTAACTCATCAAAATTGGGCGAATCGGGGTGAATTCTTATCTGAGTTTGGATTAAATGAGGCATTCTCTTAAACCGAAGCCTCCTTCGAAACTCCCTATCATCATCTACCGCTTCCAGCTCTACATCCTCCACCACCATTTCACCAACATGATCCCCAATACAAGTCTCTAATATGTGGCTACGGATCACCTCATCTTCGTAGGTCAGGAACGGAATTTGCGGCGGCCTGCTACCTGTTTGATGAAATGATTCTTTGGGACACAACGCTAACAGAAGAGGCATTAACATATCTTCGATCACCGATGTCTCTGAAGATAAATTTGTGTGCAATGGGGGCTTGTATGAAGTGGCGTGGGGGGAATCGGGGCAGTTTCCGATTAGAACGAGGCGGGAGATTTGGGGGAATGAGAGGATGAGTTGGACGCTGCCGGACTCGGTGGAAAAGGTCCAGTCTGATTCGCGGAGGAGAGGGACCAACATGGCGGCGATTGAAGTTGGTGAGGTAGCAGTCGGCGAATCGATGACAGCTATGCGAAGGAGAGAGGAGGTGAAGTGGTTATGGTGGAGGAGGGGATTTGGGAGTGTGAAGGTGATGTAGCGGGAAGGGACTATGGTTTCGAATGCTGCCGGGTCGAGCGCCATTGCTGAGGGCTGAACCGCAGAAGGCTCGAATATTGTGATCATAATAGGGGTATTTACTTACTCCCCAATTTTTGTCGACAACCAAACAAATTATAGGGTTAGTCAAGTAAATCGTGCCCCAACTGGCCTACAATACAATTAGAAATAACATCAAAACTTTTATCTTGTTCTAATAGTAACACACCTTCAGCAGTCTACAAAAAGATAGACTAAGGGCCTTTATTAGTAACACACCTTCAGCAGTCTACAAAAAGATAGACTAAGGGTTTGTAAGTACTATTTTACAAAAAATAGAAAACGTGTTTACCAAAAAAATCTAGAAAACTGGCGAAAGGAAAACAGGAGATTGCGTTTACCCAAAAATGAACTATGTTTGCATATGACTAATTATGTGTACCTTGGATAATTATACCCTTATAGCTATTAAAATGTTTTAATTCCTAATAAAATAATATAAAATAATAAAAATTCGTAAAAAATACTAAAAAATTAAGAAAAACATTTCGATATTAAAAATTTAATTAATTATTTCTTTCAAAAAATTAAAAAAAAATTAAAAAAAATAAAAACTCAAAAAAAAAAATCGCCGCCGCCTCACCTCAGCACCACCACCTCCAGTCACTAGGGAAAAAAATGTCAAATTCATTACGAATGCCATATTTATGGCAGAAAAAAATGAAAATGTTGGCATTCGAAAAGAGAAATATGCCACTTTTTTGGCATTTTCAGAAAAAAATGGCATTTTTCTGGGAAAATGGCATTTTTTCATCGGACAGAGGTGGTGTTGCTGGGAGGTAGTACAGGCAGTGGGAAAGGCATCCATATTTTTTTAATTTTTTTTACGGAGTTTTACTATTTTTTATTATTTTTTTAAAATAAAATTATTTAAAAAAAAAGTTTTTGAATTTTTTATTTTATAAAAATTTTATAAATTTTTTAATTATATTTCTACGAATTTTTGATTTTTTTTCGAATTTATTATGAATTAAACATTTAATTATGGCTTTTGACTATTTTTAATTCATATTTAATGGAAGGGTAAGAATGGAATGCAAAAATATGTATGTTTCCAATAGGACTCATATGATCCTATTTTGGAATAAAAACATAGCAAGTCCAATTTTAGGTTTTTGTCATAGTTTTAGTCCTATTTAACTAATTTCTAGTGGAAATAAATCATTATACGTTTGCAAAGGCATAGTCTCTATCATTTTGTCTCTTCTTAATTAGAAATCTAAATAAACTCTGCACGTTCAAAAATACAAGTATTTTTAAATCAAAAGAAAGATTAGACACACATCACAAAATGTTTAAGAAGAAAGAAACATGTTAAATTCTGCTTTTTATGGCTCATAAACTTTTGACTATATGTTTTAAGTCAACTATATGAAAAGCATGAATGATGTGGGAGCGCTAAAAGGAAAGAAATATGAAAGCATACCCTAAATTAAATTAAGTACTCCCTCCGTCCCTGAAAATACTTCCAACTTTCCCTTTTCGTCCGTCCCAAAAAGAACTTCCCTTTCCTTTTTTGGCAAAGAATTTGTGGTTCACAGCATTTCTCTCTCCTCTGCACAACTCTCCACCACACAATTCTCACTTTCTTAATCCGCGTGCCACTTTATTTCGGAAGTAAATTATGGGACGGAGGTAGTAACAAATTGGGATTGATATGAGTTAGTTGGAACTTGGAATGAAGAGAAAAATGAAAGTGCGAATTGAAGAAAAATAAAATAAAAATAGAAATAATAAGATATGAAATGCAAAAAAAATAGGAACCAAGACCCTTAGCTTACGCTATCAAACTTCTCATATACGCAATTGAAGAAATCCCTACGGTCGGAGCACTAACAACCCTAAGTACAGATGGTTAGAAAAAAACGAAAAGGGGAGGATGGTGAAATTCGAAGAAAAAGAGGAATGAAAAAACAGTAATCTGAATCGGAAATTGGAATCTTAAAACGGAGATGCTATGAAACAGAAAAGTGAGAGGTCGAATAAACTCCAGTGCAGTGAAGGTAGGGTGAACGAAGTGAAGAACGAAAGAACAAAAAAACTAACCTCTGTGAAGAAAACAGATTGAAGATGAAATTGCACTGCTATGAAATTTTCCTGAAAGCTTTGATGAATGAAAAACAGATTGAAAGAGAGAAGTGTCGTGATGGAGATGAATGAAATCCACTCTTAGAGAAGTTAGTCGGCTGTATATGATACGAGTAATTAGATGGACGGTGCAGATGTGAAATCTGAAGGAAAGAGATCTGAACTGAGAGATTTTAATCAGAAATAACAGTGAACGGAGATTGGTGGGAAGGGGCAGAGATGGAGGAATGACGAAAATGGAAGGAGAAGGAAGAGGCAGTGATTGATCTGGAGAACCGAGGGGTGAAAAGGATGGACGGTGAAAGATTTGTATAATGGACGGCTCAGATGCGTAAACCTTTAAGCGAGAGAACCTTACAATGAGGAGTGAAACATGGTTTTGCTTTCGTGTATTAATTGCTCCCTCCGTTCCTAGATAAATTTCCAACTTTCTCTTTTTGTACGTTCCAATTAAAACTTCAATTTTCTCTTTTTGGTAATGAATTTTTGGTTCACAACATTTCTTACACATTTATCCCTCTTCTGCACAACTCTCCACCACACAATATCCACTATCTTAAACTTTGTGGCAAACCCATTTGGAAGTTAAAATGGGAACGGAGGTAGTAATTAATACTCCATCCGTCCCTTAAAGTTTGTCATAGTTTGACTTCACAAGTTTTAAGGAGATGAATTTGACTTTACACTGTAGAGACACTGTTTTACACTGTAGCGACACGGTTTCACTGTTTGGCACTGTTTTGCACTGTTTGACACTATTTGGTATAGATTTGTTTACCAAATAAGGAAGTTGAAAAAGTATGACAAACATTTTGGGACATCCGTTTCGGGAAAGTGTGACAAGCTTTAAGGGACAGAGGGAGTAATAATTAAATAGATTTTTGTTAGGACACACCTAGAAATAGTTTCACCCGTAAATGATGGAATTAATTAATGAGTATACACACCCAAAAAAAGATGGAGTGGAGAAGGGAAGGAATATATTGATGGTAGAATCAGAGTAAGAAGAAACAAAGGGGAGTAAAAGTGCCATAGAAATACTCTTTTCAATTATCACAGCAAAAGGTTTTCATAGATGATCCAGCCCGATTTTGAATTTCATTACATCAACTTTAAAATACATCGAACAACGCATTGTGAGTTTTCATCAAAAATACCCAAGTGCAGCGAGAAAAGTCATCGATGGAGTCAATAAAATATGCACATCTTATTGTGACTGAAACATACATGGTCCCCATACATGGGGTGGAGTAAAGAAATGAGGTGATAGCACACTTATTATTTCTAACAAGGTGTGATGCTCTTGTGTGCTTCCCCAATTTGCTTAATCAGTTCTATAGTTGTTAAGTTTGTCAAGCCAAGAAATTATTAAGCGGCAATGGTTAATAAAAGGTGACACAATTGTACCACATATTGTTTGGATGGAGCATGAAAGATGGTGAAATCACTATGATTCATATCATCTACCAATCTATTCCAATATTTGCCGCCTCTATGCACTCAAATAAATGACTAAGTTGATGAAGTGGAAGTAAGGTGAAGGGATAAACAATAGTATAGATGACATTTGATAAATTTGATAAAGGAAAAGAGTGTCTCTTCCAATCCATTTGGCCTTTCTTCTTGACATATCGGCAAAAGTAACAACACTTTGTTTACCATGAGGGTTCTAATAGACCTCACGAGTAGGCCCTAGCTTATTGAATAAATCACATAAGTAATATGCATTATGTCATCTACTTCGTCCACCACGCCTGCCTCAATAGCTTTCCCGCCCTCTTCCTCGACTATCACCATGATAGTTTTGGTATTCAGAAGTAAGAGCTTAGTGTTCAGCGTTAGGTAATGATGCATTATCCTTGAAGGCAAAAGAGACTTGAAACGTTAGCAAAACTCTCCTAAAAATTATTGGGTAATAAGGACAGAGTTTTCACTCACTATCACTTTGTGAATATGTTCAAATTCTGGTTCCTGTTTCATCAATGAGATAATGACAAAGAATTCATCTCTTTGATAATTGATCCTCCTATCCCCCCACTAGGCATGAGTGTGTGTGTGTGTCTATATATATATATATATATATATATATATATATATATATATATATATATATATATATATATATATATATATATATATAGACACACACACACTATATATATATATATATATATATATATAGGGAAGAGTTCAAATAAAAAGACATCTTTCCGTGCAAAGTGCGAAGATTTGCACTTTTTAATGTTTCACTTGCACTTTTTCGTGTTTATGTTGCACTTTTTCACGGTAGCGAAAAAGTGTGGTTTATTTACAAAATTGCCACCGCGATTCTAGTCGAATTTGGTGCATTTTTGGTTCATTTTGAGCCATTAGATGTGGAAATGAATGCACAAGATTCATCATCACTTTGTATGGGAAGAGCTCTTTATATATATATATATATGTGTGTGAGTGTGTGTGTGTGGATGTTACATGTAGTGCCCCTGTTTTGGAAGAATTACCTGCACGCCCCTTGTTATGTGGCTAAACTCATTGTTTGTGATGATAGCCTCGTTTCCAATTTGGATGTGGTTACCATTGATGTTGCTTTACTTGCTAATAATCCATGTCCTTTGCCCACTGATGTAGCTATTGAACTGCAAACTTATGTAGCCAAGCATTTAAGGATTGACATAAATTGCTCTATTTCTATTCCTTTAAATGCTAAAACTGCTATTCATATACCCAATAACATCCTGGTAGATAATCTGAATGATAGCCAGGTCCCCAATGTGAGTGCGATTTCTTACCACAATGTTGCCTTTCTTGCTTATAATCCAGGTCCCTTGTCCACTGATTCTGTAGCTACTGACCTACAAATTGTTGCCCTCACTTCTGTTCATATACCCAATAATGGATTGGGTGATATTGATTTACAAAATGCTGTTGTTAGTACTAATGAACCACCTGTTGACACCGATTTTACAACCAGTTCTCAATATGGTTTAGCTGAAGCTGGTTCTGATGCTTCCCCGGTCCTTGGTGAAAATTTCGCCCCTATCCATATTGAAACTGGTTTCACAACCACTAACGAAGAAATTATCCCTGATGAAAAGGGTGCCCCGGCCCTGACCCTTTTGGAAGTGGTTTAGGAACCCGTAAATGCTGCTTGATACTTACGGATTCTACGGTTGCATTTGATGGAACCCCAGTGGATACCTCTCACCAGGCAGTAACCGTTGGTGCATTTCATCCCCTTTTGATGTTGGGCCCTGATTCCAACACTGTTGAAATACACAATGCTCCCAGAGAAAAAATAACACATATGGAAGATGATGAAATCATTTCTGCCCCCCCAGATGCTTATGCTTCACTTAGCCTGATTTTGTCCAATGATGAAATTCTTTCTGAGGACCTCACTGATTTATACGAAGTATAATTTTTCAAATGTTACAGATTTTTAGGGTACCGAGGCTGACTGTCCTGAAGGATTCACATAGGTAACCAACAGGAAAAAACTTTCAAAGTGCACCAATTAATCAACCACACCTCACGAGGACAAACAATTATACTATGAGGTGGGATACACTTCTCATCCCATGATCACAAGAAGTCAATCCAAGAAACTCCGAGATGAAACTGACTACTTCCTATATCCTGTTGACGTGAGGCTTGAATCGCCACAACAACTGGCTGAGGCTCTTAAGAGATACAAAACATCCCACCCGAACGCAAAAACATACTAGCCGTACCTGCGGAATGCAATAAGGTTCCACAACAAATTCAACAGGACTATCTCATCCTCAGTGGGAATTCCGACAAGGAACTTTAATTACTAATGTTTTTCTAGTTTCCACTTTCTCATTACCCACTTGTACTTTTAATTTCCTTGTATCTTTCAACTCCAAACTATTTTAAATAATTTTAATAAAATTGGGAAGTGTTCCCCGACACTTCCTCCACCGCGCGTGGTTTGCTCCAGGGAAACACACACACACACACACACACATATATATATATATATATGATAATTGATCCTCCTATCCCCCCACTAGGCATGAATATATATATATATATATATATATATATATATATATATATATATATATATATTGGGAAGAGTTCAAATAAAAAGACCTCTTCCCGTGCAAAGTGCGAAGATATGCACTTTTTCATGTTTCGCTTGTCCTTTTTCGTGTTTCTGTTGCACTTTTTCGCAGTGGAGAAAAAGTGTGATTTATTTACGAATTTGTCACCGCGATTTTGGTTGAATTTAGTGCATTTTTAGATCATTTCGAGCATTAGATGTGGAAATGAATGCACAAGATTCATTCTCACTCTGCATGGGAAGAGCTCTTTGTACTTGAACCATCCCATATCATGATATTAGCCCTTGAATCTTCCATAGGAAGACTTTCATTAACATACTTTCCTTTTTGACATTCAATTCCAATATCTCACTCACAACATATCAGAATCTAGATATGTCATTGATATAAAGTGATTGTGTTGTCTTCCACCTTGAGAAACGTTTGGAAAGGTCATAACGTAGGAATAAAAACAGATGAAAGGGACTGTCGCAATGAACTTCATATATAAACATCAACTCTTTCTCAGACATTACTTTAATTTCATATTGAACTTAATCAACCTATTTGTTCATGTGATCAATTGTTATGAGCATGAATTTCATCCTAAAAAGTCAAATGATATAAGGAGTAGCCCAAAATCGTATATAGTACTATTTTGTTTTGTATTGTTCCATTGCGGTACAAATAAATCAACATGCCCTTCAACCCATACCCGACAAAAAACATTGGATTGTACACATATGGGCCAAATAGATCCTTAATGAGATGCCTTTAATCAGAGGTGCTAAACAAATATCAAACCACATCCGAACTTGCTCTGATACCATGTTCAGAGCAGGAATTTCACCTAAAAGGTAAATCTGATATGAAGAAGAGTTCAATGACTTATACAACATCTTACTGTTCTATACTTCAATATCAACAACCCTTTGTCTATAAACCACATTTCCACCGCAGAGGCCCAATCTTGATAATTTTACTACCCAAATAATTTTTCAATTGTGATGACTTGACTACATGATAAATTGGGAACATAATTGTTGGTTTGTTCGTAAAATTTTGAGTATTAATATTGTCTGATATTTCCCTTTGTGTCACGGTTACTAAAGGAAACTATAAATATCTATCAGAGGGTCATCAAAAGAGATAAGAGTGTAGGAACAATGTTTATAAGTTAAGAGAGATTTAGTTCTTTTTAGGCTATAAACTCAAGCCTTAATGACATATACTTATAAATTATGACTACTCTTGTAAGTCTTGGTTGTAATTAATATAGATAAGTAGATGATAAATTTTTCTACATGCTTCTATCTTTTAAAATATTTTGTTTTAATAATTTAGTATATCCTATACCCCAAAAAGTCCCAACATGGTGTTTTAATATGTCCATTATGTATAGATGGTACCAATTAAATATATATGAGTAAAACATGGCCAA